AGGCGGACTCTCAACCACTGCGCCACCAGGGAAGCCCTACTTGTTTTTAATTTATTATATTTTTTAAAATTTATTTTTGGCTGCGTTGGGTCTTTGCTGCACGTGGGCTTTCTCTAGTTGCGGCGGGAGGGGGCTACTCTTCGTTGCGGTGCGCAGGCTTCTCATTGCGGTAGCTTCTCTTGTTGCGGAGCACAGGCTCTAGGCACGTGGGCTTCAGCAGTTGCAACATGCGGGCTCAGTATTTGCGGCATGCGGGCCCTAGAGCGTGTGGGCTTCAGTAGTTGTGGCGCGTGGGCTCAGGAGTAGTGGCATGCGGGCTCTAGAGTGCAGGCTCAGTAGTTGTGGCACATGGGCTTAGTTGCTCCGCGGCATGTGGGATCTTCCCGGACCAGGCATCGAACCTGTGTCCCCTGAATTGGCAGGTGGATTCTTAACCACTGAGCCACCAGGGAAGTCCCTGCTCATCCTTTTTCAACCTTCATGCCCAGCATAGGCCTGGCAGTGAGGAGATGCCGAGAAGTCGAGTATGGACTGATAAAATGTCAGGGCAGCCATGAAAGGGGCAGCTTCACTCTGAAGGTGAAATGGGGGGAGGAGGAAGGAAGAACCCAGTCACTGGGGGTGGGCTGGAGAGGAGGGGTGAGCTGAGAAAGCCCCCAAGGCTCAAGGAGAGAAGCCGCTATGTGCCAGGGCCCAGCTGAACAGCTGACAGGTTCCTTCTGTGAGGAAGGGCCCACTATCACCCCCATTTTACAGATGGGTAAACTGTGGCTCAGGGAAGACCAGTGGGCATCTCTACTGTAGAAACTCTTCTTTTTCTACTGCCTCCCCTGCTGTAGTGCTGCGGTCCTAGCAGAGCAAGCAGACAGTGGGTGTTCTGGGGCCCGGGACGGGGTGGGGCTCATGGCCTCTGTCGGGGTTTCTCTAACTGTGCTCCCTGGACCTCTTGGGGAACCTGCTAGACATGAAGATGCCTGGGCCCCTCCCAGACCTGCTGGCACAATGGCAGCGGTGCTGAGCATCTGCATGTTTCCCAGGAGCCTCTGGAGAAGTTCACTAAGGGGGATGGGAAAGCAGGGAAGGTAGGGGGCAACCTGCTGGTTTTCTGGGCTCCCTACTCCTCCTCCCCAACCAGAGCCCTGCAGAGGCCTGATCTGAAAGTTTCCACCCAATAAGCCCAGGGTGTCCCAAGCAACTGCCTGTCACAACATCCCCAGCCCCTCAGCTGTTCTGTCCCCAAACACTTAGGTTTCTGCAGCTTCTCCAAGCCCCAAAGCAACCATGATAGTCAACATTTCCCGAGGCCCCACTACGTGCGGGCTCTGCTCCTGGCCCTTCTTACACGGCTAACGCAATGACCTTGCCATGTAAGCACAATAATTATCCCCCTTTTTGTTTTTTTTTCTTTTAGCTGTACGCGGGTCTCTCACTGTTGTGGCCTCTCCCGCTGTGGAGCGCAGGCTCCAGATGTGCAGGCTCAGCGGCCATGGCTCACGGGCCCAGCCGCTCCACGGCATGTGGGATCCTCCCGGACCGGGGCACAAACCTGCGTCCCCTGCATCGGCAGGCAGACTCTCAACCACTGCGCCACCAGGGAAGCCCCATCCCCTTTTTATAGAAGAAAATTAGGCTCAGAGAAAATTAGGCTCAGAGAGGTTAAGTAACTTGCCCAAGATCACACAGCCAAGTACATGGTAGTGTCAGGCTGACTCCAGGGTGGGGTTTCTTTTTTTCTTTTTTTTTTTTTGGCTGCACTGGGTCTTTGTTGCTGCGCACGGGCTTTCTCTAGTTGCGGTGAGTGGGGGCTACTCTTCGTTGTGGTGCGTGGGCTTCTCATTGCGGTGGCTTCTCTTTGTTGTGGAGCACGGGCTCTAGGCGCATGGTCTTCAGTAGTTGTGGCACACGGGCTCAGTAATTGTGGCTCGCCAGCTCTAGAGCGCAGGCTCAGTAGTTGTGGCGCATGGGCTTAGTTGCTCCGTGGCATGTGGGATCTTCCTGGACCAGGGCTCGAACCCGTGTCCCCTGCATCGGCAGGCAGATTCTTAACCACTGCGCCACAAGGGAAGTCCCAGGGTGGGTTTTAATTCCCATCAGACCACGCAGAGTCTGTTCTGTCCTATCGCAGCCCCCCATATCTCCACATAAGGACTGTGATAATAATTACTATGGTAATTACCATAATAAGAACAGCCAATAACCATTAAGCACTTCCCAGGTGACAAGAGCTGCTCTAACCCTCCACGCGAATTAGCTCATTTAACCCTCTGGCAACTCGATGAGGGGACTCTTATTTTTCCCATTTGTACAAATGAGGGAACCGAGGCTCAGAGTCACCAAGGCCCCCTGGTAAATGGTGGAGCCAGGAGGTCAGAGCCCAGATCTTGTGTTTTGGGGGCCAATGTGGGCACTTCCAGAGAACAGGGCATATGCCCTCTGCCACCTGAGGCCTCTTTCAAACAAGAGGACTCAAAACCCAAATTAACCCAAGCTCCACCCACGGTCAATCCCTCCCCTGTCCACTGGGTGACTCAGAAAATATACGGAGCTGCCACCAGCTCCAGAAAGGGCCTGGTCTCTGGGGAACTCACACACATACACCGCTCCCACACATACACACGAAGCCTGTAGCTCTCAACCATCTGGGTGTCTGGCCAACGGTAAAGTCACAAAGCCAGAGGGCAGGAGGCCTGGTCAGCCTTCTGCCCTGGGGCTCAGAGACCCCAGCCTGGGTCCCCTGGGGTGGTCCCTTTTGCTTTCTGGTCCCGGCCGGTCCAGCTTGTGAGTGAGGCTTGTCAGGGCATGGTTTCCTTCCCTTCCTGACAACAAACAGCCGAGGCCCTTCTGCTCTCTGGTGTATGTGTGTTGTGCAGGGGCGGGGGAGGCTCGCCCTGGATCCTGTCTTGTGGGGGCAGAACAACAGGCATTCAGGGCAACTGACCCGGTCTGGCAACCTGGGTTCTGAGGTCCTTGGCCACCAACAAGCCCCAGCCCTTTTCTTGTCCCCTCCTCAAAAGGCCACAGTCCCAGCTGTCCTTCTTGCCAAAGCCCCTCACCAGCCCTGGAGACCTGCTCCTTGAGTGGGTCAGGGCGGGTAGTTTCGCCCCCTTTAGGGCTCTTGTCGGGCAGTTTCTGGGGTATAAGGAAAAAAAGCACCTTAGGGAGGACTTCCCTGGTGGTCCAGTGGTTAGGACTTTGTGCTTCCACTGCAGGGAGCATGGGTTCGATCCCTGGTTGGGGAACTAAGATCCCCCACAAGCCCTCGGTGCGGCCAAAAACCAAAAACAACAACAACAAAAAGAGTACCTCAGGGCTATCAGGGGCTGACACAGGCCAGGCACTGTTCAGGGCTTTACACACATCGATTCATTCATTCCTCACCACTGTGAAGTGGGGACTACTTTTATCCCTATTTTACAGATTAGGAAACTCAGGCCCAGAGAGGTGAAGTAAGCTGCCCAAAGGCCACACAGCCAGCACGCGGTGGGACGTGGATCCAGGCAGTGCGGCTGTAGGGTCCACGCTCTTAACCACGGCACTACCAGCGCCATCGCTGTCGTCCCCATCAGTCACTGTGCTCCTGGCTCTCTCACAAATGACTCAGCCTCTCTCCAGGCTTCCGTTTCCCATCTCTAGGATCATAACCCCAAAGTAGCTGGCACATGGGGTGTTTGAAGTTCCTGAAGCATGGCCTGTACAGGAGGGCATTGCTGGCTCCCCTGCCAAGGAGGTGTGGCTTCCGCTCTGGCCCATTTCTCAGGCTCCCCTCTACATTCCCATTGCCCTGTCTGAAAACCCACAGCTGTGCCATTGCTCCCCTGTGTGCACTCAACAGCTCTTCCCCGGGCCTTCAAACCCTCAGGCCAGCAGCTGTGCTGGGGATGGGACTGCAGCGTGCTGCACTGACCCCACGTGGGCCACTTTGCTCCTGCCAATCTGCTTTCCTCCTGCAACAATCAAGCAACTTATCCCATTTTACAGATGAGAAAACTGAGCCTTGAGAGAGGCAGTGTGCCCACCAATTTGTCTCGCAGCTGGAAGGGGCCTTGCTCCAACATCCTCTCTGCCCACCTCACCCCCACCCACGGACACCAACACATCAGGCTTGCACAGGTGTCATCGCCCTCCTGCTCACACTGCCTGGCATGTGGCTGGGACTCAGGAACCATTTATTTAATGAACCAATGAATGAAGGTTGTACACCTCACTGACATAACAGAGCATGGAAGCAATGGTGCAAGAGTCAGTGTGTCCACCTCCTGCCTCTGGGTCAGCTGGGAGGTGCAGAGGAACAAGCCTCTTCTTGAAGGGCCCTGCCAGAGACCATCTGGAGCTGCCCTCACTGGATCACTTCCCCCAGGACCTAAACAATGTTGCCTCTGGAAGTTCTTCCTTGTGTCTATCACACACCCATCATTTCACAAGGATGCTCTCTCCGTCAACCTGGGGAAGGAGGCAGTCACATCTGTGGAACGCTCTAGTCTCCCAGCAAGGTCAAGCCCAGGGCATGCTCTTGAAGAACATCTGTCCAAACACTCAGAAGGGATGGCAGGGATGTCTCCCCAGGGATGGCACAGGAAGGTCAGAGCAGTGTCTGATCTCTTCCGGCACCACCAGCTCAGGCCAGCTGCTTGGGATGGGGACACTTTCACAAATGACTGACTGCATTGCTCTTCTGAATAACCGTGACTGACCTTCACGCGTAACCCTCTGAGGGAGGGACTATTATCATCTCATTTTACAGTTGGGGAAGCTGAGGAACACAGCTTCAAAATCCCTTGCCCAGGGTCATACAGCTTGCAAGGGGAGAAGCTGAAAATGAGTGGGTCTAAATGAACACATTCCTCTCAGTTCATCCTCACAGCCACCTCTCCAAAAGTATGGATTAGGATTCCCATTTAAAATGAGGCACAGAGGTTGATTAACAGGTCCAAAGTCACACAGCTCTGAGTGGTCAAGATTAGACTTGAACCTAGTCTGACTCCCTGGCCCTGGGGCAATGCCACGAGTACCGCAGAGCGGAGGGGCTGGCGTCAAAGCCATTTGGGAACCTCTTGTTTCCTGCGGAAGCACGGGTTTCCTCCTGATGACCTGGCAGAGGCCCAGGGCAGCACTGCTGCCTCCTCCCTTGCTGTGCTTCTCCTTTGGCCAGAAGCTCCTCTCCTGGGCCAGGCTGAGTGTGAGGGATAATCTGCCAGGAGCTCCCTGATCTTTGGATCTGGAGTCCAGGGACCATATGTCCTCAGCCTTTCCCCTTCCTAACCCTGGGTGCACCCTAGAGTTGGAGAGGGGGATGGGGGGGAGTAAGGTGGGAGACCGGAGGGAGAGACCTGAATGAAGGGTCTGCAGCTGCAGAGAGGATGCTCCAGCGTTGGTGGCCCTTGGCTGAGGTCTAGGCTCTGAGTGACCCACGTGGAAATGAGACCCTTCTAAACGCGAGAGGTCTACTGGCACCCTTTGCAGCAGGTAGAATTAGACTCTGGAAAGGGTGGCCTCCAGACACAGGGCCTGGGACAGGTAACATGGAGGGTGTGGTCCCTGGACCGGCGTGCTAACAGGCTTGCTCTGGGGTCCTGACTCAGGGGATCAGGAGTGGCATTTGTGCCCCAGGGCACTCCGATCCAGGGACTCAGGAGCCCTGGCTTCTCCAACCCCATTCATTCATTCAACCAAGAGGAACAACCGCTCAGAGGCCCTGGATGCAGCGGCCTCCACGTCTCTTCCCCCACCTGGACATCCGTCACTGCGCGGGGACACTTCCCTGCGCCCCGCCACCGCGGCCCCCGGATTATCCTTTTGCACGGCGGCGCCAGGCGCTAGGAAGGTGCGGAGCGGACGGCTCTGCGCGGTGCCATCCCCGGGCTCCTGGCCTCTCTGGGAAGGGGGAGGGCACGGGCGCGGGGATGTCCCGGGGGCCGCTCCCTCGGCCCGCGCCCCAGCGGTGGGGGTGTCCCCCCACGACAGATGCGACGACGGGCGGTCCGGGGACCGCGCCCGGTTCCTGTCGGCTGGGGCTGCGCGCTCACCTGCGCTCATGGCGGCTCCTCGCGCTCATCGCCGGGCCCGGGCGTCGCGATGCCCCGCGGTCGGGGCCGAGGCGGAAGGCCGGGGGCGCGGGGCGCTGCGGAGCTGGGCGGCCCGGGACACCTGCAGGACCCAGCGGCTGGAGCGGCGGCGAAGGTGCCGCAGTCAGGCTCTGCGCACCGCCAAGCCCCGCCCCGCCCTCTGCGGCCCCACGTCCTCCCGCGCGCCGCGGGGGCTGCCGGGATTTGTAGTCCGAGGCCGCTCCCAACGCGCACGCAGGGGCGGGGCGCCGAGAGACAGACGTGACAGCCCTGGGACAGACTGACACATAGAGAGGAGGACACTCAGGGAATCCGACAGGACAGCCCTCAGACACATGAACACATAGACACACACTCAGAGAAATAGCCCTTAGATGCGCAAACACAAGTACGCCACGCCCCTCCCACTCCTCACAGATTCGCCTAAAGAGAGAGCTGTGACCCAGAGATACACAATTCTCAGACACGCACACAAAAACAGGACACTCAGGGAAACAGGACAGCTTTGGTACACAAACACACAGGTACACAACAACCTCGGACACACACATAGATACACACACACAGAGGCTAGACTCCCAGGACACAGACACAACACACAGATTCACACACAGAGGTGATACTTAGAGACAATGCACACATACCCAGTAGTGTGACACTTAGAAACAGGTAAGACAAGCCCCCACCCCCGCCGTTAAGTACAATGCATGGCTGGTTCAAGCTGGTGCATCTCTTGTAGGCTCTGTGAACTTGGGCAAGCCACTCAGCCTCTGGGCTTCATTTCTTAACATACAGGAGGACGATGACATTAGCAATACCTGCTCGATAGATTGCTGTGAGTCCCACAAGAGAAAAAGCATGTAAAGCACGGGACAGTGCCTGGCTCTGCCGCATAAATGTCAAAGAAAGAAGATAACACCTGCCCAGAGACTCACAGGCTCAGATACGTCTCACAGGGATATGTGTGGACGCAGGGAGGCACTGCAGTGATGCACAGAAGGCCTCTAAAATGCCACAGAAACAGCCGAGGCATAACCCCCGTCTCAGAAGCCTCACAACATGACTGCAGACAAGCCTGCACAGGTGGGAACAAGGAAGCCCCTGAAGGGCACCAAGACCTCGTGTTTGTATGCAGTGTTATCACATTACCTCATAGCGACAGGCGCAGACAAGGTGTCCCCTGACCCTGGGGTTGATGGCTTCTGGACTAAGGATCTCCAAAGGATCAGAGACCCCAGGCTCTGGGGCAAACCAGGGAAGGATCACATTAGGGCCAAGGCTAGGACTGGGCTTGAGCCATCAACATGTATCCAGTATGAATTTCTGCAGTGCTGGGTGGGCACTGTTCTAGGAGTTAGGAACGGGAGGGTGAACAAACAGATATGGGGAGCAGTCAAAGGCCAGCAGAGGAAAACTCCACAGTAACCTGTGGTGGAAAGGGCTGGAAGGAGACAGAGCTGCGATGGAGAGCAATGGTGGGGGAGAGACTCCAGAGGGGAAGCAGGGAAGGCCTTGACAGTATCTGGTCCATACCGAGAACTCCATACATACACTTGATAAAGGGGTACGTATCGGCAGGACTTGCTGACGCATGGGAGGTGGAGGTATAGGAATGGAATCAAAGGTGCCTCTCCTCCCTGGGTTTTGGTCTGAGCAGGTGGGGGGGGGTGGAGCCATTCGCTCAGCTGGGGCAGGCTGCTGGTGGAGCAGGTTGACCACCTGGGGGATGGGGCTGGCTTCACTCAGTTCAGGGGAGAAGACCTGTTTCTTCTGCTGATGCCTCAGTGAGGGCAGCCTACCGAACTTTTCAGAGCCCCTGTTTCCTCCTCCAGGGCTTAGCTGGATGTCTGGCAGACCACTTAACCAGGGGAACCCTGATTTCCATGGCAGGCAGGATGGCTAGGTTTGTATAAATGACTTGCTCGATGGCCTTGCCAAGAGGCAGTGTGGTACAGTGGCAAGTGGCTGGGCTCTGGCACCAGAGAGACTTGGGTTTGGATGTGCATCAGTTGCTGTCTAGCTGTGTGAGCTTTAAAAAGTCACTTTCCCTCTCTGAGCCTCTCTCCTCATCTGTGAAATGAAAGCTGCTGGAAAGATGAAATGGGGTGGCAGGAACTTGGCAGAAGCCAGTTGCTTTCTTGAGATCCTGGTGCTGGGCTAGAAGCTTCATAAAAGCAGGGGGCTTGGGGACTGCATCGCAAGATTGGTCCCTCATTCTTCATATTGCTACTTGGCATTTAAGAGACTCCATCCTCTGAGCCATCTGGGAAGGAGCTGCACCTGCCGCTTGGTCCATGGTCTTCATGAGGCAGGAGACCAGATGAAGCTTCCTTCCAAACCACAGAGGATGTGGAAGGCCTCGCCTCTGCCCAGGGTTACCTTTGGGGAAGTGGCCCTCACTGTGGTCATCTGGGCGGTCTGTGGGCTGGGCTGCAGTCATCTGTGGGCTAGGACCCATGGAGAAGGCTCCCTTCTGGGGCTGTTGCTCCCTTGGGGGCCCACAGGAAGGACATAATATGCCTGGTCCTGCAACCAGGTAGGGTAGGGAGAACCCGGAGAAAGAAAACCAGGCACGGCTTTCTTGACATAAGAGAAGCCGTCTTTTGTGATCTAAGCCTGGCCACAATCCTTGACCTAGAACAGGTCTCAGTAATTAACGATCTTAAGGGAACAAAAGAACAGACAACTGTTATCAGGCAAGAGAAGTAACAATAGCAAAGATATCAGTTGTAAAGACTCCCAGTTCTGTTTCAGTGGTGAAGATTAGCCTGAAATGCTCAACTGGAACCTGAGGGATGATGATGACCTTTTCTGACCCTCGTGACTTCAATCAACTAAAGCTTGGACTCTGTCGAGCGCCCAAGCCCCTTCACGAATAGGTATGTACCCTTAGCTTAAAACTTCTCCAGTTTTGCTGTTGGGGAGACACTGCTTTGGGAGAGATCCCGGGGTTCTCCTTACTCGCTGCAAAGAATAAATCCTTCCTTCTCCTGACCTTTGCCTTGGTTGTGTCTTTTGGCTCGACACCTACCAAGAGGTAAACCCAGTTTTTGGGTAACAGTCCGAGTGGCAAAAAGTTGGAGAATTCACTAATTTGTACTGGTTTATTCTAGAGCATTGCCAAACTTCTCAGTTTCTCTAGTTTCACTAGATTTTTGCAACAGAAGGGATTTTCTCACCTAGTGACAAACCCCATGACAAGATTATGGCTGTCTAGACACATAAGGTGCAGTTTCAGCAGTCTGTCTTGTATATAGTTTCCTGGGCAAGGAGGAGGCTGGAAGAGGATTTGAGTTTTGGGAGTCAGCGGCACACCCTCTGGCACCCAGCAGTCAGTGTGACGTGGGAGACGAGAAATGAGCATTTTTAGTCTTGCACAGATAATCCATCCTCTGAATGGGAGGTCTCTAACTCTAGCCAGCCGTGTCGGAAATACACCAGTTTTCAAGTCCAGAGAGCTGTGAATTAAGCACTTTTTTTTTTCCTGGCTGTGCTGCGTGGCTTGTGGGATCTTAGTTCCCTGACCAGGGATTGAACCTGGGCCCTCAGCAGTGAAAGCGCACAGTCTTAACCACTGGACCGCCAGCGAATTCCCAGGGAATTAATCTCCTTTGTAGTAGGATTCAGCCTTCCACACAGTAGGTATTTGAGACAGATCAGTTAAATTGAGTTTATGGAGCATTTGCTCAACTGCAAGCTAGATGCTTTTCACAGTTATTATTTTTTAAACTCATCTGTGTTAAGAATTTATTTTTAAAGTTCTTTTTTTTCAGCTTAAGTATAATTGACAACATCGTAAGATATTTAAAGGGTATGATGTGGACTTCCCTGGTGGCGAAGTGGTTAAGAATCCGCCTGCCAATGCAGGGGACACAGGTTCAAGCCCTGGTCCAGGAAGATCCCACATGCCGCAGAGCAACTAAGCCCACGTGCCACAACTACTGAGCCTGCCCTCTAGAGCCGGCGAGCCACAACTACTGAAGTCCGCATGCCTAGAGCCCGTGCTCCACAACAAGAGAAGCCACCGCAATGAGAAGCCCCCACTCGCCGCAACTAAGGAAAGCCCGCACACAGCAATGAAGACCCAACGCAGCCAAAAAGAAAAAAAGTGTCTGATGTGATGATTTGATATATCTATATACATTGTGAAGGGATTTTTCCTCATCAATTAACACATCCACACCTCACATATTTACTTTTTTTTTTCTTTTTGGCGAGAACTCACATTTATTCTTATGTAGACTTTACCCACAATTCTGAGAGGTAAATGCTCTTAATTCCCATTTTACAGATACGAAAATAGAGGCTCAGAGGTTCAACAACTTGCACAAAGACCGGGTAAGAAGGGCTGGCTGGCTTCAGCCCTAGAGAAACTTGAAGCATTCCACAGGATGATTTTTGTGAATGAAAGCACATTGTCCGGACACTATCAGAGAACAGAAGTAGCATAAAGGACAAAACCCTTTCCCTGCTCAAGCCTGCAGTTTTATTAGTAAAGTCTTTGTGACTTGAAATAGAACATTTGCCTGCAATCCAATGAAAGATTAAATAAGCAGTAAGTTAAACTATCAGTTGATAACATATTCTAATTTAGCTCGAGTTTAAATGGGGTGAGTGACCTACAGTTGCAAACTTGACGTCTGATGAAGCTGATTTGAAGTGGCAACTCCCCAGCCTCTCCTCAGAAGCTGGCTGGTGCAGAACTCATCTTTACAAGCCATTAAATTAGTCGTGAGAAAAAAACCCATCTTTCTCCATACAGGTCTAGTGATTAGAAGCAAAGTCAAATTACCCATGAATTCAAGGAATGCAACCTTCTGCGGGGCTGTCTGAAACCAATTAGGTGTGAACAGACCTGGAAGGCAGATTTCGCCCTACTGCCCTCCCAGCCCGGGTATGGAGGGCTCCCTGAGGGTTTTCCAGTTCTCACTTCCGAATCTGGAGCTTTAACATCTGAGGACTGTGTACTGTGTGGTCTTACTAAGGTGGCCAAGAATTTTTAGATGCTAACATAAGGGCAAAGACTGTGTTCTCTAAATTTCTAATAATTTAATGTTTGTTCCTTTTTTCTTGAACTTGGCTCCTAGGTGGGAGGGGACAAATCTTGTTCATCTTTACCTCCAGCACCTCACCTCTCACAATGCCAGACAC